ATTATGAGCCTCGTTAGTCTAGTGGTTGTAAACGCGGCTGTTGATCATGAGGTCCTGGGTTCGAATCCCAGGTCGAGCCAATTATTGAGTTTTTCCGTCAAGAAATTCTCAATAGAATGAGGAAGTTGGCGGTGTCTCAACTCAGTGCCTCGGAAAGCACGTAAAGCCATTGGTCCTGCGCCTGATCTCTCTCCGATCGTGTCGGTTTACCGTCCCATCGGACTATGAGAGTGAGGGAATAGAGAGAGTACCTGTACACTTGGGCTAGTCTCCGATGAGGCTGGCCGCTCAGACCAAAATTGGGTGGAATATTATTATTACCACTATAAACATTGGCAAACATATTCTAGGTTGGTTTGTTTATTTATTCATCAACAGAGATCGCAATTACTTATTTTATTACAACCAATTTTGTTACATTTACATTGCACCTCTAATAACAGTATAATAATAAAAATATATTCTTACACAATAGCTAGGTAGTAAAAGTATTAATATCAACATATTTACTCAATATTCTTTAGAATTTAAATTTTTAACGAAACGTTCAAATCAAAGGCTTTGTACAAACCATTTAATATACTTAATTTTTTTTAGAAGTACTATTTTTTGTAGTAGCATAAAAGTATAATTACCCATATAAGAAATAAGCTTATGATATTGTATTATTATTGTTATTATCATATAACCGAGACATCAACTTTTGAATTTTGAGCATCAGAAACTTTAAAAGTGCGAAAAATGCCCCATATAACCCCGTGGGTGTCGTTACAAGTGACAGAGCTAATAAATAAAACAGGATATGGGCATCTTCCAGATAACAACTTTGAACGTGCCAAGCGTGGCATATGTGGCAAATAACCATTTAACATAGCGGCTAGTTTCCGTTGAGACTGGGCGCCGTGGCCGAAATTCATCCTGGAGGACATTATTACTTTTGGGGAGGCCTGCACTTTTTGAGTTGTACTGTATTAATAAACTGTGTGTAACGACTGGTTAGCGTACGCACATGCCAATTATGTTTCTGAAACACCACCATAACACAGGAGAAATTCCTACTGTAAGTTGAAACGTTTTTTTAATAAAAGAAAAGCTCAAACATCACGACAGTGGAACCTCGCTGAATATTATCAAATGATATTAGTGCAGTACGATCATTTGCCACTGTTATTTTCTGTCCATTTTAATTGCTATATATAGCGTCGCGTCATTAGTGAGGGTGCTTACTTAGTTACTTACCGGCAATAAGGCACATGACACGTCACCTGCCACTATGAAGGGACCACCACTCCACTTCCCCGTATCCAACGAACCGTGTAATTTTATTGTTTTATAGCCACTTTCTTTTATTCGCTAGGGTAAAACTCAAATCGATTTGAAACGTGTATGTCGCACAATTAGTAAGTAGTTTGTTCAGATAAGTTGATTAATTTACTTGATAGTTTTTGGATTTAGGTAATTATATAATGATTGCTTATATTTAGTAGTAGGGAACCGGAGACTTTTAACTGGAATGGAGACATTCTATCTTAGTCTTTAGGTGTGACATCGCATTTACATTTTGATTCGTAATCAAAGATAAATCTAGTTAGATTCTTCATTTCTTTGGCCAATTTTTTATTACCATTACAGCTTATTAAAGTCCCTTGCTGCGCATAGGCCTCCCCATAGAACACTATAATACACAATAGAGTGGCTGTCAACTTTATTTTATACGAGTATTGGCGTCACCAAACCCGATTCGCTGTGTTGACAGACTGAATAAATTTAAACATTTTAGACTTTTGATTAATGTTCAAGTACATTATTTAAAAAATCATTTAAATTTTAATACATATTTATATGTGTGCAATTTGGCATTTTCTAAATAATTTGCATGCGAAATTTGGAAACGATTGTAACGTCAAAACGCATCTCGTGTTGACGTGTGAATTGACGTGTTAGTGACATTTTAGTGGCTACGCGGGCTCCGCCCACACCCCCGTTCTATTATGTATGTATTATAGTATTCTATGGGCCTCCTCCATATAGCCTCACTTTTGACATAGTTGCCACGCTTGGTAGGTGGATGTGGCAACCACGGTTATTTATTTTTAGTTATTATTAGAAAGACGCTGCTGCCCATCTCCTGGTTCGTTTTCCTCTGTCGCTTTTTATGACACCCACGGAACGGACGGATAAGGCGTTGTAGATATTCTTATACAACAACTACACAGGTCAGGTATGTGATTATGCAATAACATTTTTAAATTGTGTCACCCTTATTCTATTTAAAAAAAAAAACAAGCTATTCAAGTCTTACAAGTAAAATATCACTACTACCACTATAATCTATTGTGATTTGTGATCGTGGCTTTGAATATAATAACGTCCTACAGACCGAATTTCAAGCAGCGCGGCCACTTTCAACGAGAACTAGAGAAAAGTAAAGGTAACTAACAAATAAATTAATTAATATATGAATAGGTCTCGTTTCGTAGCGTGCTTGACTCGTATAAGTTTCGTGTTAAAAATCTGAATATTTTTTTATAGTAGAAGGGGCGGCGAGCGTGCGGCTCACCTGATAGTAAGTGACTACCGCCGCCCATGAATAACTGAAACTCCAGGGGTTATTTTGCAGATGCGTTGCCGGCCTTTTAGAAAGGATTAAGCTATTTTCTTGAGTGTCACGTTGAAGTCGTATCGGTCCGGAAAAATCGCCGGTGGTAAAAAATTCCACAAAGAGGTTGTACGAGTAATAAAACTCCTAGTAAAACGCACAATGGTAGACCGCCAAGAATCCAGATGGTGTGAATGGTATCGTGAGTTATGTATAGTCAGGTGGCAAGACTAACATAGTTTCCTACCAAACAGAAAGAACGGTTTTTATGAAGAAGTTCTTTGTTATACTTTTGAAGTATGAATTATACTGATATAACGATAAAATAAAATTTTATATGATTGTAAAGATGTTTGTATAAGTGTTTTCAAAACGGTAACTGAAGAAAATATAAAACAGGAAAAACTGTTAGTCTTCCCCCGTCACCTGGGGTAAGACTAACAGTAATGATTTTACTTTAACGTACATACTTTATGCAGTTTCAGCGATCGATCTGATTGACTTCGGGCACGGAGGCAGGAGTACGAAACAAATTAATAATTATAGTTAAGTATAACTATAGTCATCATCATCATCGTCATCATCATGAGGCCTATGTTCAGCAGCGGACTCGTGAAGGACTGTAATAATGATAATCATTATAATGATGTTGTTTAATTACACTTACAATCAAGATTTCAATTTATTTTTATTACTTGATTACAATTTACAATTTTATTTGTTTTACCTCCGTTCCCGAATTATTCGATTGCTCGCGTACTGTTCTTACTTGTACGTACTTATTCAATTCAGATTGCTCGCGTACTGTACTTAAATTTATGTTTTGAGGGTTAATTAAGACAGAGTTTTTACATAGAAGTCTGAAGTAAAGCTATCCACCAATAAAATGTTTGCTACTTATGACTCTGGGAAAGACTACGTACTACGTTTGTCTTGCCTCCGACAAACTGATAGTCTTTTCCCCTGCTTACAACTTCTAGGTTATGTTTTTATTTCGTTAAATATTTTAAATAAACCTCGATTTTTGCTCAAGTTTAATCACAAATTTTAAATATCCATCAACCCGGCAACTTTGATAAATTGTTTTTACTTCTAAGATTTTTAATTACTTTTTCAGCCATATTTACTTTATTTACATCTGTTTTGAGCCGCAAACGTTTGCGTATGAACTGATTTACTGACTAAGAGAATTTTGTAATGAAGCTATACTTATAGAGATACAATAAAATTGCATTAAATTGGATTATCTTAACATTAGCCTTATTACCGGTTTACCTATAATATATATAAATATTTAAATAGAAAGAGCGGCGCTTCCTTCTCGGTACAAAAATATAACACTGTACAGTGTACATACAACATGCAACATAAGTAATAACGTAAGTGCGTGCGTCGCTTTCATGAGCAGCACAACCACTAGACTAACGATTGTCTCGTTTTTTTAAGCCAAATATTAAGCCAAAAAGTAAAATGCCGGCAAAAAGCAAGTTGAGAACCGCTTATTTTTATTTTCTAGTTACGAAGACGCTTCTGCTCATCCCCTTATTTGTTTCCCCGCTAGTATGATCGAAGTAATGATTGCGCCCTCCTTTCTGCCAAGGAGGGTCGCGTCCGTATACGGATCTCTAGTTAGACCGTTTTAAGCCAGCCCCTAAAAGGTGGAGTTTAGTGAGTAAAAGTCTCCACATAACCACGCAGCCGGCTGCGTGGTATGCTATGAGCATTCATCACCTCCCTCCCCCGTTTTCCGGAGGGTTGCCCATATTTGCTTCGGGCGCAAAAAAAAGTAATGATCTAAAAATAAAGCCAAACTACATCCCTACCAACTGAAAAACTAGTAGTAGTATTTTGATACCTCGGATTATATAACAAAACTGATTTTAACCAAAAACATGAAACAAAATTGAACCGAAAAATGATTTTCTAATATCTCGAATACTTACATACTCGAATACTTGTCATTGAATAAAAATAGTTTTACGGATTCACCCATCCCATCCATCCATAAGTGCCGTTAAGCACCCGCAACGTCGGGAATTAAAAATAAGTAAAATAGGAACGTCTTATAACCTAAATAAAGAACTGTAACGAATTAAACCCGGCTTCCAAGCCCTGTTAAGGTTCCGATAGGTGGCTGAACTATCATCCCTATGACCATCAGAAAAAAGACATAAGAAATAAGCCACAGAAAGCGTTCCACCTTCACAACAAGAGATGAAAGAAAAGCTTTTCGTAAATAAAGAAACACAAGACACAAATTTTATACACATCTGTAGCTACACAAACGTTAGCCAACTTTCCTTGGGAGATAAAAACTTCTCTCCTTTCAGTCAACTTTATTTATTGATCAAAAACTTTATTTGCAAATGTATATAATACAAGTAAAAAAAAACATTTTGTACTACAAGTGGGTAAGGAACCAATCCGCGCTGTTGATCAGGTTGTCCATTTCAGCGGGCAGTGATGACAGCGAGTGGTTGTCTTCGTACATATATACTCTGTGGAGTAAAAATAATATTATTAATTACATTTTTTTAGTTTTGGCGGGAACTCGGCCGCCGGTTAATTACGGGTTCTGTGTATTTTTCTATTATCTATCTTCTATTTAAAAAATGGTTTGAACTTTAAAGTGTGTTAACTTTAATCAACGTAAAAGTGGTGCGATTTTTTTTAATAAATCTGCGCATGTCAACTATCATTGGAAACAAAGAAACAAATGCTCCGATAGTGATATGAACCTCAAATTATTGAGTCTGCTACGGTACCTTGAGATACCGTCTGTTAGCTCATGCAGCTGTTGAAATCTCCCGAAAACTTCGCAATGTGATACATCAATTATTGCAGAGGTCTTTAAACAAATGAATATAAAGGATTTTTCCACCCTTTTTACTGGAAATGAGGCATCCTATCTTAGTTCTCAGGGTGACAACGCATTTTGACTCTTAATGGAGGACAGATACTATGGGCTGTATCCATATACTATCAGTTGAACTGTGTGCTCGCTTGGCACCCTTACTCTATAAAAATGGTTCTTACCTCGTAGGTACTCCGTTAGCCTTCAGCCGTCTGCTGTACTCGAGACCCTGGTAATATGGGACGCGTTTGTCTCCGGAGCCGAGCATGAGAGCCGTGGGCGCCTTAACTCGGTGCACGTGTACAAGCGGTGAGCAGCGCCTCATTGCCACTAGTTCTTCCTCAGATACGGGACCCTTCTCCGTGAACGTGAAGCCGGCTTCCACAGCACACCTGTCAGGGAAGATTATATTTTATCTATTCTGTATGAGACGGTTCTAAGCGTATGATTTTCTCTTAAACTAGGATTTTGTCCCGTATCGTAGTCAGTTTACGTATACAGGTGTCCCAGAAGTAGACATCAAGCCGAAATTGGGTGATAGGTCAAGTCAAAATCGTTAACAGAAAAATATAAAAAAAAAAATCTTTGCTATGTATTTCAAAAATAACAGGCATTTATAAAAAAAATCTACATCCTGTGATGGTCTTTTAAATCCAGTTGCTACAAATTAAAAAAAAGCCTTTTATTATGTAATCCCGAATAATGCTTCTGAAAAGTGTTGCATAAATTTTACTGCCAACTGCTTCAGCCCAGAACGAAATGTAATTTTTTCCCCAACCAAGTATTCAAAGTTAATAATTTGACCAGTTTTAAATGGCTGCACTGAAAAAATTATGTACTACACGAGTTTGGCTCGGGTTGCTTTTTATGAAACAATGATAGAAAGAAACAGGGAATATCCACGATTCCCTGAAAAATTTTTATGGTCGGAAGAGTCCACATTAAAAATGATGGATACATGAATTCGCATAATTTACACGAGTGGCACGTAGAAAATCCAAATTTGATGAGAGAAGATCGATCACAGTATCGCTTAAGATTAACCTTTGGACCGTAATTTTGAATAGACAAATAATCGGTCCCTTTGAGCTGCCAGAGATTTTGACTAGTGCAGTGTATTTGGATTTCTTACAAAATCATTTTCCATATTTATTGGAGGACATGCCAAACAAAGGCATGGACATGGACAAAAAAAGGACAAAGTATAAATTTTCAATACTTGGTTGAGAAAAAAATTACATTTCCTTATGGACTGGAGCAGTTAGCTGTAAAATTTAAGCAACAGTTTTTAGAAGCATCAGAAGCATTATTCAGGAATACATAATACAAGCAATTTTTTTTAATTTGTAGCAACTGGAGTCAAAACACCGTCACAAGTTGTAGATTTTCTCGATTTTTTTATAAATGCCTGTAATTTTTAAAATACAATGCAAATATTTTTTTATATTTTTTTGTTAACTATCATGACTTGACCTATCACCCGATTACGGCTTGACGTCGACTTCTAAGACATCCTGTATAAATTGCATAACGACAAACATAGCTGGAACAATAATTGTAAGCCATATTAATACTTGTTCCGTGCGGGATTTAAACCCGCAGCCATAGGCCCCAGTGCTAACTACTGCGCTACGGTGCCGTTTTTTGATACCTTGTGGAATTCTATGCTAATCGACCATTGTGGTAAGTAGAAAAGGTATTTTTTTTAAACTGAAGTAACAATCTAACTTACAGTCCACCTTATAGTATGTGGCTGCTGCAGTCTATGGACTCCTGCAGTCAACTTCAAGCAAAGACAGCTACAGATACGTTGTTACCTCTGAGAACTAAGATCGCCTTAGAAGGACTATGGAGCATTAGAATACCTCACAGCCCGGCTTTCTATACTCTTTAGACCGTAACACAGTAGTGCAAGCATTGCTATTTGGTGGCCGAGACAGATATCCTAGAGAAACTCCTAGGCACAAAATTAGTCCTACCAGAAGTAAGTGTATGTATTCTTAAAATAATATTTTTTTAAATATAGAATAAAGGTGACAAACGAACACAAAGTCCACTTGCTGGTACGTGGTTGCTGTGGCCCAGACATCTACATCTATCCTCGATTAAGAATCGAAAGTCAGATGCTTTGTCACCCGTGAGGACTAAGATGGAATGCCTCGTTGCCAGTAAACAGGGTCTCCGGTTCTCTACGCTCACCATACGAAACACAGCAGCATTATGCTGCTATTTTACGCTGGTATTCTGTGAGGGCGTGGTCCTTCCCCGGTCGAGCCGACCCGTTCGTATAACAATACTACTAATATAGCTCCAGCATAGCTCTACCACGTCGAAAATCTTAAATTAATGATTATGATTTAAATACAAAACATGATAATGTTTCACCTAATGGTAAGTGATTTACTTCCGATTGTAGCTGCAATCGTGTAATGGCGTAGAGAATTCACTACCCTATATCATCCCGTGGATGTCGTAAAAGGCGACCAATTGAAACTGAAACAGGAGATGGGTGGCAGCATCTTCCTGTGGTTGCCGATCCCCTGCCAAGCGTGGCAACTATGGCAAATATCCCCCTTTATGAGGCAATATATGGGGGAAGCCTATGTTTAGTAATAGACTTGATGGTCGGCAATTATGTACCAGGCGGTCCCATAATGAACTGGCCTGATATAGTTCAACGCGACATGTCGCTACATGTTGTGTTGCATTAAATAGTACGTTTATCGTGCACTTAATATAAGAAACATGCATCGACATGAAATGCTTAGTCTTAGTTTAACAGGCATTTGAATAACGAGAGTCGCGTATTTTTTTCAAAATGTCGAAAACTGAGTATCGAAGTGTCATAAAGTTTCTGTTTAAAGAAGGTTTATCCCCTGCCCAAATAAAAGAACGATTGGATGGCGTGTATAAGGAGTCTGCCCCCTCCTATAGCACAGTGAAAAATTGGGTGAAAGAGTTTCGCCTCGCGAGAGAAATCGTCGAAGACTTTGGCCACGACGGTCGACCTGTGGAAGTGCTCACTCCCGAAACGATTGCTCTTATCGAAGAGGAGGTTCTGAGTGACCGCCGTTTGAAGATTAGAGAAATTGCAGCAAGGCTTGGGCTCTCTAAGAGTACCGTTCATCGCGCGATCCATGAACATCTTCACATGAAAAAAAGTGAGTGCAAGATGGGTACCGAAACTTCTTTCAGCGGTACAGAGACAGGAAAGAGTGCGCTGCGCTTCGGAGTTTTTGGATCTTTGTGGCGAAAATCCAAAGACTGTGATCGAGCGGCTAGTGACTGGTGATGAAACTATGATCTTGTATTATGATCCACAAAGCAAGCGCGAGTCAATGGAATGGCGTTATAAGGGTGAAAAGCCCCCTAGAAAGGCAAAGGTGCAACAATCGACTAAAAAACTGATGTGCACAATATTTTGGGATTTTCAAGGCATTTTGATGGTGGATTTTAAAGAACGTAATACAGTCGTGAACGGCGAATATTATGCTTCTTTAATATATAAATTACGAGACATGATAAAGGAAAAACGAAGAGGCAAGCTGTCTAAAGGTGTCCTGTTGCTCCATGACAACGCCCCTGTTCATACCGCTGGTGTTTCGAAGGATGCAGTTCGTCAATGCGGGTTCACAGAAGTTCAACATCCACCTTACAGTCCAGACATGGCCCCGTCTGACTATTATTTATTTCCAAATTTAAAGCGGGACTTAAGAGGAAGAAAATTTTCAAGCGATGAAGAGTTGCAGGCGGCCGTCTTCAGTCATTTTGAGGATAAAAAATGTGATTATTTTTATAAAGGTTTAGAGATGTTGATTCACAGATGTCAGAAGTGTGTTAGTATTCATGGTGATTATATTGAAAAATAAAATTGGTTTCGTTTCATTTCCTTCATTGGTTCATAGTTAGGCCAATTCATTATGGGACCGCCTACGTATATGTCGTAGCCAACTAGCTTAATTAGCTGTTTAATCAACAGCCTAGTCTCCTTACTAAACAGCGCCGTTCAACTAGCGGCCTGAATCATATTCAGCCATTTGAATAAACAGCTAGGCAAATGACTTGGATCGATGACGTTTCGTTACTTGCCTAGCCTTTTCATTTACCCCATATCATCCCGTGGGTGTCGTAAAAGGCGATAGAGCAGCAGCGTCTTTCTAATAACGACTAAAAATAAAAAATTGCGGTTGCCAATCCGCTTGCCAAGCGTGGTAACTATGGCAAATATACCCCATATGAGACAATTTATGGGGGATATCTATGTTTAGTTATAGGCATTTGATAAAATAATATAACTTAGCTAGTGTTTGACAGTTTAAGTATGTATTGCACAAATGTTAATTGATTACTAATGATTCAGATTACTAATTCAGATTGAAGATAATGATTTCAGTTATGAGAGGGATATTTATATGGGCTACAAGACATTTATTTATTTATTTAATAACTGAAATGTAACAGTTTAAGATAAACGGTACATAGGGCGGACTTAATGCCAAGTGGCATTCTCTGCCAGTCAACCCTGGATTTTTTTTATAGGATAGGGTGACAAACGAGCATACGGTCCACCTGATGGTAAGTGATAGCTGTGGCCCATAGACATCTACATCTATCTTCGATTGCAAATCAAAATGCAGATTCGTTGTCACCCGTAAGGACTAAGATGGAGTGCCTCGTTTCCAGTAAAAGGGGTCTCCGGTTTTCTACACTCAACGTACGAAACACAGCAGCATAAAGCTACTATTTTACGCTGGTATTCATTTCATTCATTTTATTGTTGACAATTGTTGGCAGGTGTGAAAGATAATACATAAATAAAGTATACATATTAAAAATGTACTGAAATGTCTTGTGTGTGTATGTACATAGTACATCACACACAAGTAATTATTTCTATCAGGATTAAATACTTCCGAACTATATACTTGACTCAAACATGTCAAACCAAGGCGATTTCAGAATTTTATTGCTGTGAGTCTGTATTCGTGTACCGTTAACCACTCACGTCCCGACAGTGTACCAATTACAAAGACCTATGGTTAGGCCAAAGAGTACAGATTAGAAGAATGACAATATTTTTTTAATAAATTAGGGTAAATATAACTTAAAATCATTACCATGTTCTTATCCAAAAATAAAAATTATCAATAATTAAAATATCGAACTATTTGTATGAAGGTCACGTGAGCGCTAGAGAAACGACGATTGCAGGACGATGTAGACAAATAATTTTTTTTGATAAATTATGCATTACCGTGTTGTGGCGGTGTATGAATACCCATATCACCACGTGGATGTCGTAAGAAGAAACTATACTAGGTGGAAAGGGCTATTTTTAAATAACCGTAATCATCGTTCTGGTTACAAAAAAATCACAATGAAAAATCATCGT